CTCCAAGCTGACCTTGATGGTCTTCAGATATTTCCCTTCCTGGGTTCATGTGCCTAGTTACCAGTTGGTCAACCTCGTGCCCTGTGAACTGACCCTGTCCTCCCTCTGAGATTTGAAAGGAAAAGAAACCCAATCCTCCAGGGAGCGCTCCGACTAACAAGAAAACTGCTGGCCCGAATCTCTAAGAAGTGCCGTGTTTTCCCACTGGACCACTTTCAGCTTAATAAACATCTTAACTAGCCAGAGGTCCCACGGGAGCTGCTGGGAAATCCTCTGGGCAGCCAGAGCTCAGGAGCTGGCCCTTTATTGCATCCAGGTGGCTGTTAAAAAATGCTGGCCGGCCATAAATGTCCAATAAAATGCAAGTGGCACCTTCAGGGGTGGACAGGGTCAGTGCACCTGTCTGTGGACGAAAGCTCCACTCGCTCCCTCATGTCCGAATAGTTTGATGTGGCACTCATATGTTGTGCGACCACCATGTCCACAAGGATTATTTAAATGACAGACTGTGGGCACAGGCTCCAGGGGCCCAAAGATTCAGGCTGCTCAAGTCAAACTGCCAAAAGAGAGACACCAAACACAAATCTGATGTGTCTGTAGTCAATTTGTGTCTCTTTCATTGTGCTTTGCTCCCATAAAGGAGAAGGTTGGGGCCTGATCTATTTCATCAAGATGCATCAATTATTCTCTGGTGAAAATTACATTTAATGGGTTCTTCCCTGACCACATTGTTCTATCATGTTTGGTGGTAATCCATCCAGTTTCTTTGCACAATCTGGTTTACAATAAAACAAACACACCAACATAGACATGGGCAGGGGTGAAAACATAACATCCTCGGCGAAGGTAAGGATACATACAACTACAACGAGAAGCAAAACAACTTCAGAGAGACAACATGACTAAGAGACACAGCAAGAATGAAAATCTGTGATTTCCAATGTGTGTCCTTTTCATTCTGTCTTTTGCCCTCATAATTGAATTAATGGGGGTATTTAATATGTCTGCTTCCACAGGCTCATTGTCAGTGCAAACAACTGCTAAAACATGTACAGGAGTCAAAGTCCACTTCCCATGTGTCCACAATGTCCACAAAAACCTTTCACTCTTGTATTAATGCACAACTGACTGAAAATTAAGGGGAATACTCATCGAAATTCTCTTCTATCGCTTCCCGTTGTTTACGACTACTTCACACGTATGTGAACAGTGGCAGCAGCCTCCCTTCATCTGTCCGGCCTGGTCGCTGTCCAGAGGGAGATTTTAATTGTCCCACAGGTTGAGCAGAGACCTGGATGGTGTACTTTGTCTTTGATCTGACTTGAAAGCAGTTAATTGATTTCTGTGTTACAGGCGGTGTTAGAGGGTAGAAAGAAAAAAAAGAGATGCTTGCTGGTCATTTGGCAACACGTGCAGGAATATCTAAGAGAGAAAGAGGGAGGGAGGGAGGGAGGGAGGGGATGAAGAGAGAGATCACCTCACACCCGACTCCATCCCTGCTCAATTACAATAATTTGACTCACATGGGCTGGCTGTTGTGGCAGAGAGAGCAAGAGAAAGGGGAGGAGAGCCGCTGTGTGGGAGATGGAGTGAGGGGGAGCTGGGGGAGATCCCTGTTCTGGGACATCACTCATCTTACCTCTAGCTGAGGTACAGAAAGACAAATTCGATGTGTGGCTCCCCTTGGAGTGCAGCCCGGGGGCTTGTTAAGGTGGCAGTACGGAGAAGACCACACGTCTAACCTCCTGAGTCTCAGAGGGGCACTCCAACTTGTGATGACGTCAACGTGCACGGAATGAAGAGACAGGAGTGTTGGAGGTATGTGGCAAATAGCAGAGTAGAGTTTCACAGCCTACAATTAGTCTATTTTATAGGAAAATAACACTTATTTGTTAATTTAAAGCCTTTCCTGTTTCTGTTTCTATCCCAGCATGAACTCACATGAAGGAATCACATTTGGAAGCACGATGTCCACGTTTGTTCTTATACAAACATGAAACCAGTGAACATTAAATGTGGCTTGTTCGAGTGATTTGCTGCATCACCTGCCCAACAGTCTGTTCACCAGCTCTGGTCTGGAGCTGCTTTGACAGGCCTTCTCTCCTTCACCTCTCTCTGTCTCTGGTCAGCCCAGCTCTGGGGGGAAACGGGGCTGTCAGAGGGAGAGTGGCTGGCTAAGCCCGTCTTAACACAGCACCTCAAACCACCTCATAAATACAGGCTTCCTTTTCTAATTTCCAAGCAGCCCATCCACCTCTGTCTACATGCTTACACACTGCTCCATGTCATGTGCCGGGGTGTGAGTTTAAAAATGACCACGAGACATCTGGCGGACTAGCAGAGGGGTGGGGCTTTGATGTGCTGCTCTGCAGTTCAGCTCAACTTCGGCGGAGCCAAATCCTCGGAGCGAGGCAGCAGCGGTGACTGAGGAGCCTGAAGTGGGCCTGGTCAGTTAAGAGATAGCGAGGGAGTTTAAGACATGCCTCTCGAAACAGATTCACCATATGTGAAAGGCTTAGAGGCAACAGCCCCTAGCTATTCCTCTATCATTTAAACCACTGCAGATCAAAAAAACGTTGTATCCATTTTAATTTTAAAATGTGGTCTTTGGAAATCATCATTTTCCATGTGATAAAGTGGAGCGAAAGAAAAAGTGAAACCATGTGAGGCAGCTTTTTGATGGGCGATGCTGGACTGGGCTCACAAAGGAACTGCAGCTCAGAGTAAAACTGTTGGTGCCCATCTGGAGAGCTCAGCTACGCTGCTTCAGTCTCCATCAACACAACAGGTCCAACTAATGACCGGTTTCACTCCAAACACTTAGATCTGACCCGCAGGGCTAAAGTCAGACTCAACCTGCCATCCATCACCGATAACATCTATGCTTCTGACATGGAACTGAATACTGTGTACAGGTCACTTTTGCAGGCATGGGGCCACAATACTAATTTGAAAGGATAAGTGCTGATTTTTGCAATTGTCAACACTTCCCATAGCTTGAGTGGCCCAACAGCCCCCTTATGAAACCACATTTTAATGGATTATTTGGATCTGCACCAAATTGCACACAGTCATAAATATCAGTCCCCTAAATATGCCTTATTTTTTCCATCAAGATCCATGAATTATTCTCGGAGAAATAAAGGGAGAATGTAATTGCTTCTTACCCGAGCCACACCACACCCTTCCACCAAGTGTTGTGTTCATGCACCAGTAGTTATTGTGCAACCTTACTCAAAACCAACCAACCAGCAGAGGGAAGGTTGGTGAAAACATAACTTGTGTCTGTGGCACTACGTCCCAAACATATTTCCTCCTAGTGAAAACCCAAATCTTTTAAAACAGACCAGGAATATTACTTTGTATAATTTGAATTATTTTCTTTCAGCAGCCGGGCACAGTCGTTTCTAGCAAATATTAGTGAAACAACAGTGAATAGTGCAAAAAAAAAAGTCTATTTTCTGCAGAGGATTGATACTTATTCTGTATTTACAGCAGCAGGAGGTGTAAGAGGGATCAGTTCAAATAAACAATATTAGTTGTGATGAAGGATGTCACTAAATCAAACAGTGTGTGCCATCCATGTGCGTTTGGCAAGTCTGTGACAAACAGGATTATGAAACGATATCTAAATATGAGAACAATTCTTGTTTGATTCCTCCATTGCTGGTTGTAGGCTTTTCATTTACTAATAATAACTAAAGTGTGTAAACTTACCTGAAACTTAATAAGTATTGAAAAATATCATCTCTAACCCTAATAACCTTTAAATGGATAAACTAATACATAGAAGTTGTTGAATATTATTAAATGTTTCAAAATTCTTCTTCCAAACATGATTCAGTAGAGTAATGGTAGAAAACTACATATGAATGTGGAACATATGGAATACTGTATGTATGCACTTTCAGCACAGTGGGGAGCAGGGCTGTCGGAGCCTGTCACACTGTGCTCCAGGGCATCACTGACATGAGTGTCACCTTCACGAAGGAGCATGAAAGCTGTTCCCTGTGCAGAGGATTCCTTCAGACCGTCGCTCTGATTTCCGCAGCAGAACAGAGGAGTTAACGCAAACGCTCGTGGAGGGTTGTCATCTGCCGGACGCTTCATTAAACACCTGTGAATATCAAAAGCCGTTAGGAATTTTGGTCAAGGGGAAAAAAAGAAAAGAATACCTGCACCCTAGCAACATTTATAAATTCTCAAAACACAGGAGGAGGAGCACAATTAACAAAACATGGATTCTGACAAATTCATTTAGTTGCAAATGAGATGAGAAGTGGGAGGAAAGTGATGTTTTGGTGTCCAGGTGTAGATTCTACCTTTGACTCTAGCAGCACAATTGCAGCAGGATGTTGCAGAGAATTTCTAATCCTGTGTTTGGGATATAAAGAAAATAAAGATCTGTTGCTAAAGTTGTTCTGCACCCCCCTCAAACCAGTGTTAGATAGGAGCTGAGACTTACTGTTGTGCTAGTCTTAAAGATCTGACTGCGTAGTGGAGTCACAGCTGACGTGGGTGGGCATCTGGGGTAAAAAAGCTCCTGTGTCTCAAAGCTCTGCTCACTGTTGCTGCACGCTGCTCATGATGAACTTTGTGACGGAAAGATGCTTCTGCTGGAAAATGAACGTCAGAGGGACCTGTGTGTGTGTGTGTGTGTGTGTGTGTGTGTGTGTGTGTGTGTGTGTGTGTGTGTGAGAGAGAGAGACAAGGCTGCATCTCTGCTCCCTGTTGTCGTCTCTGCCACTCACTGTCAGCACAGCCCTGTTATTGTGATGAGCAAATAGTGAGTCACAGTTAACATAACTTTACCATTTTAACTGTACGGGGATATTAACTATTCTATTTTTAATCTGATACTCTTTTAAACAATGCTGTTGAGACTAACTGAGTAAGATGAGACAAAACACACACATTTACCAGAATCATTTTCAAGACAGATACAACATTTCTAAAAGTTTAATGTTAAAATTAATAAATTATCAAAAATATTTTAAGAGCTGAATCATTTACAAAGAATCCATTAAAATAAAAAACCTTTTTTTTGCATTGCATTTTTCTGCATAAAATTACATTATATACATTTGAACCAAATCTTAATTTAAAATCTTTCTTGCTTTCATTAGTTTGTTATTCTACAAATTATCCCTTTTTTTTCTTGTGTACTCGTCCAGTCCTTGTGGCTCTGTCACCTTCGGAAGCCTGGGAGGAAAGTTACAGGACGATGCTTTTCTCTGCGCTGAAGTTGTAGTGAAACTGTAGGAAGACGAAGAAGAGGCTGAACACATTGTCCAAAACAGAGCAGAGAGCATACATGGACAAGAAATGCTGCCATTAAATTCAGGCTCACCAAATGAGTAGCATTATATAACCAATTTAACACATTTGTTGCAGATGAACCGTGGATTTAGAACTTATTGGTTTAATGTTATCCACGCTATTGAAAGCCACAAGCATAAAATTGGCCTTACAGCAGAGTGATTAGTGGGTCAACCAGACTGGAGATTGAGGAAATATAAAGAAACACTGCCCCCCTCTGGAGTGTCAAAGACATGACAACAGCTAGGGCCTCTAACTATCTTAGTTGCATTTGAAGACGAAAAATTGTATTCAAGCGAATGAATAAATCATTTAAGCTCCTTCGTGTTGATGAGATCAAGTTTTGGAAGCCTCAGCCAGAGTAGCCTGGAGAGCTCAACACACGGCAACTTAAGAAAACATCTTCATTCATTTGATTACACATGTGCAGCAAATACAGGCAACACAATCACTATTCAAATACACACACCCAAGTGCAGAAATGCAAGTTGCACAGACAACACTTGAGGACAAGGGCTGCCTTACCTGTGTTATTTGTTTTTCTTACGCCTGGTGGAGGAAGATCCTGCCTCTAACCCGCCTCTAACCCTGACCAATCAATTCTCATCATGATAAAACCTGATCCAATCAGAGGTGGGGTAGAGGCACGTGTTCTTCCACCTAAAAAAGTGGATTACTCAGCCGGGAAAAGAGAAACTGAAAAAGCCAAAGCATGTCCCGGCCAAGTTCATCACTCTTGTGTGTCTGCTTAAAGAATCGTTGTTTTCTTGCTACGGTTCTGTATTTGCATTCGTTTTCATAATATGCTTGTGTTTTGTGTTTTGCACGTGATTTCTGATGTTGCAGTATTTTGAACTCTGCCTCTGTTCTCAACCCCCGGGCTTTTAGAATGTTTGGTGCCGGAAGTCTGTTTGTCATTAAAAACTAAAAAAAGGTTAAATAAAAAATGGAGGTTACACTAAGTTCAAATGAGTTGCTTTTGGTGTTAATCCATGCCTATAGGCAACACCATGACAAATCCACATGAAAAAATATTTCTTTGTAAATGATATAGTTCTCTGCTTCCACAATCAGTTATGTTCACTCAGTCAGTTGTTTAGTCCACCTACAAATATCTAGCCTCAAGTTATCGAAAACAAAACATCTATATAAATCCCTGGGTTCCACGCATGAAGATATACAGATGGTATATTTGGGATAAGGACATCCCTGACTTGAGATAGTGGAAGGATAAACAGTTGGGTCATGCATCCCCAAAAACATTCGTAGTACAAAAGCTTTTAATTTATTTATTGAAATCTAATTATAAAAAAATGATAAAAAGAAAGAAAAAGTTCTAGAGGACAATTAAATATTCTACAATAACAAACCTCACCTTTGAATAGTTAGTTTGAACTGTTTTAAAATTAAAAACACATTCATGTCATGGATTTTAGCTCTACTGACTGAACAATAATGTTTTGTGACATTAAGTACTGCTCATTTCAGCAGGTTAAACAGTTTAGTGTTGTGTATTACCACAACACAACACTAGGTGATGCTGTATGATCACTGAAATAAGTTTCAGAATCTCCATCAGAAGCCACAGAGCCTCAATGGCTGACACTGGGGTCTCTCGATCAAAATACCACCTTCCCTGATTTTCATCTAGTTGAGGCGAAGCTTCAAGTTACCCAAAACCTGTCACATATCAGAAGCCTGTTAGTTGTGAAGAAATCCAGTCCTCCACCACACTAAAATTCAGACTCAACATCTGGCACAGTAAATAAATAAGCTAGTGTGTGTGTGTGTGTGTGTGTGTGTGTGTGTGTGTGCGGATGATGGATGGGGGAATGGGGTGTTATCAGGGAGAGCATGTATCAATGTCTGCCAGTTTTACACACAGGCTGACAGGACAGTGACACACTAGAACATGGGCGGCAGTCACCCAGACGAGCCGAGCTTCATTTCCTGTCCCTGCTCCACTGCCAAAAATATGTGACATGTTGTCTTCATTAATTCCACCTCCATTTGGAGCTCTCCCTCTCACACCTCTCACATACCCCTGTACACCACTGTCCCTCCATCCATTCACGACCACACACACACACACACACACACACACACACACACACACACACACACTGCACAAGCATATTCATGCACAGAAACACACAGATAACTCCCTACAAAAACTGAAAACCAATCATACATAGGTGCTAATGAAAATCTCGTCATGTGTGCACACACACACACGCTTCTTTCCACTCTTGCATACTCCCTCTGAAAATCATTAGCCAGCCGCCAACAACAGTTTTCAGCCGAGCAAACTACATAAAGATGTCACTTTAAATCGCTTACTAATTAACACTTAAAAAGACACAAATTAGATATGCGTGGCTAAAAGCAATTATAATATCCGCAAGTTTTGCGAGTCATTTGGGAAATGAAAAGAATGCCTAATTGCTGGAACCAACATCATCCGAGACATGGCTTAAGTGATGCCTGTTAGGAAATGGTCTTATCTACAACTGTGGCTGTGATTACAACAGTTTTCCTCAATTACACGTGCATATGTATAATTCTGGAGAGTGCGTCTCTTTCATGAATCTATATATATTAATGGGCTCAGAAACCAAGCAATTACATTCGGTGCAGGAAGCACGACTAGTTTCTCAAGAGGGGAAAAAAGGCCCACAGCCAAGCATGGACAGTGACCTCTTCTGGACAACAGAGGGAGGACTTTACTTCATTTATAAACCTGAGATCCAGTTTCATTCCAGAAACATCCTTTTATGAACCACAATATTGGGACTTTTTTTAGTTTTGACTTTTTTTCATGAGCCACTTTAACAGAAGCACAGACACAGAAAACACAATGGACGTTAAATTCAAGTTGTAAGGCTGGCAGAGGAATACAAGACAAAGAAAAGATGCAGCTCTACAGACATCGCTTTGTAAAAGAAGAACCTCTGATGTCCAGCACGTTTGTGAGAAAACTATATTTCCAGCCCTTGTTCTGCAGATATCATCGTGGGATAATAATAAGAGGAGAGAAGTAAAAATAACACAATGGTGAGGGATGTTTCCACTTGGAAACTAATTATCAAGCTAAGCTGTGACTTCATCCTCATCAGCCTGGCCCCACCATTAATCTTGTGCTGTCGTCCACTTCACTAAATCCTATGTGTTACACTATCTCACATTTACTTCATCAGCTCCAGCGCGACTGTAATTAATGATTTCTCATGCCCTTCCCTTCCCTTCCCCAGCTCAGCTCACCATGTGTCCTCCTGCTAATCACACTCTCTGAGAAGAAAGGAAGGAGGAGAGGGAGCGGGAGAGGAAGGAGGAGGAGAAAAAAAAAAAGACAAGAGCATATAGGATGAGCAGCCAGCCTGTCTCCACCCTGGACACACACACACACACATACAGAGACGCATACACACCATTAATACCTGCGCTGACAATGAGCTTCATTCAGATGACCATATGACAAGATGGCGACTGTGTGATTTGGATAGTATGTGACAGAAGACAGAGGCAGAGTGCAGAACAGACACCCAGTTTGATGAGGGAGTGTTTGCTCTGTAACACATCTCAAACCCAACAGCACCTGTTCTTTTACAGTGGTCTGTCACTTCCTGGCAGTTCTGATACCAAGATACCGTGCTAATGAGAGAGAAGGGGGGTTGTCACTCTCTTTAAAGCATGTGCACACACACACACACACACACACACACACACACACACAC